GAGGGTCAGTTCAGCCGCGGTGGTGCCGGCATTGCATGTGGCACCGCATTAAATGCGGTGGTTGGACGTGACACCACACTCAATGCGGTGGTCGCCTGTTTTCAGAGGCAATCTTTGATGAGGGGTGACCCTTCAGTGTCATGGCCGAAGGCCTCCCTACCGAAGGCTACCATTTAGCCCGAATTTTCAGTAGCGATGTTGGTCCAAGAGAAGTTGTCCTGATCCCATTGAGTTTCATGCCCTCGGCCATGGAGCTGAAGGCATACCTTGAGTACTATGGACCTTATGTAGGTTGGGTCGTTGCGTAGGGCTGCCTGGGCATGCTGGGCCTGTTCCGTAGTATGTGGGCCGGGGGTTCCTGGACCATATACTCCATCAATATTATTAAATAGAGTTGTGTTACGATAAAAAATAAAAATAGAGCCGTGTTAAAGGAAGGAATAATAACCTGAATTACATTAGACTAAAATTGTCACGGTTTATAATATGTAAAACAATAGGGAGTCAAATACAAGATTGGGTGCTATGTAGGCATTATTTAATTTATGATTCAAAATTATGTTTTTCTTTCAAAAAAAAAGCAGAAACTATTATTTAGAATCGTCTTATGGGGTGTGAGAATTAGACCTATATTCTATAGATGTGCATTGTTTGAAACCAAAATTGAGAATCTATTTGTGGCCCGCCCCATTCTTCTGTCCCCATCGAGGAAAATTATGATCGTCAATTAAAAAGACGAGAAGGCAGGCAAGCCAGGAATGAGGCCCATGAATGTCAGCACTGCGTAGGAGCGATTTGGGGTGCAAGTGATGTTATTATGCACCAATAACTTATTTGTTTAACTATTTTTGGTAGATCCAATGTGTGAGCTTTTATAATTTATGAGTTATGATACTATTTAAACAAAAAATTGACCAGACGGCCTGAATTGAAAATCCAACGATTTAAATAGTATCATTGTATATTTTATTTTTCATCTATTTTGAATAATGTATTATTCTAAAAAGTCAGAAAATTTCACTTGACCAAATTTTAATTTTTATAAAGAAATGCTTTTTTTTTTTATTTTATAATTATTCAGAACAAAAAATTATACATTGACTATAATAATCTTAGTACTCTGTATTATTTTATGACCATGATATGTAAAAATATGAGGAGATGATTTTATTGGCGGTCTTGCAAAGTAGAGAAAAATCATTTGATGGAATTTGATACTCCCTCCGTCCTATTTATATTGTCCCGTTTTACTTTTTCGGGAAGTCCCACTTAAATTGTCTCATACCATATTTGGCAAAGTTTGTGTGTCTCTAAATCATTCTTACTTTATTCTTACTTTATCAATTAATATCAACCACACAAACCCACTTTTCTTAATAACCGTGCCACCATCTTCCGTCCCAATATAAATAGGACGAAGGTAGTATTTGATTTTGTTAATCAATTAAGCATTCACTTCTTTGAAGAAGGTTTTGATTTTGGGTCCAGACTATGATTCTGAACCCAAAAAACACGGAGGGGGCGGGTTCAGACGCCTTGACCCGCCATATTCTTTGAAGAAGGTTTCAGTCGGGAACGGGTGCTGGTGCACGTTCCTTTGCTTCAGGCTGATTTCTGATTTCCACGCATTGCTTATTTTTGAGTTTAATTTTCCTTATGTTCTCAGTATGTTTTCCTTTCAATTACACTTGGTGGGGGTGTTGAGGTTTTTACTCTGGCCACGTTTGGCTCATGTAGACCCATGATAGGATCAACGAATCACATTGTTTTCTTTAAGGTGATTGATTCTCCAGCTGGTTCGATGGTCGGTGGTCATAAGTGCTTACTTTATCATTATTGTCCCTTGCCGAGTGTTTTATCTATATAATATAATAAAGCAAACCCTTGGCACAACCTTATGAGAAATAATTGACATGTGGCAAAACTCTTTGTAAAGAATTTGACATGTGGCAAAACCTTACGAAAGAACAATCATGTGTTAAATAACTTTATCATAGCAATTACGTGTTACTTATACTCTTTGGCCTTTGCAATTATATTGTGCATACAATTAATAAATGAATATCAAAAGACACTATAAATATGTATTTATGCATGTAATGAAAACCTTTTCAATTTCCAATGAAAAAGAAGAGATTGTAAACTAAAAACAAATAACTCTTTCATTTCCCTTCATAAAAATTTATAAAACTATGAGAGTTTTATTATGAGATCAGACTATAGGTAAAAATCAGCTCAGATCAAACCAAATTTCGACAATATTAAAATACATAGTTTGTTTCGTTTTTGGTCCCCTGATTATTGTGTCAATGACACTTTTGGTACTCGGGTTTTTATTTTTTCATTTTTAGTCCTCGACTATTGTGCTAGAAACAATTTTAGTCCGCACTTAGTCCCTGAGTATTACCAAATTGACACTTTTAGTCCTCCCACTATGATTTTGACACAATAAATGGAGGGCTAAACATGTAACTAATATATAATAGTTGAAAGACTAAAAGTGTCACTTCTATGAAATGTTAATTTCACAATTTAAAATATTTTAGCATTCATGAAGATACAATTAACATTCTAAATTTCTATTATAAAATAAATAGCATTATCCCCACTATATAATTGCAACATTTTCAATTTGCTATTTTAAATTATGTAATCAACATCATAAATTTACATTTTTGAAAGATATATAATACATGACCATGGTGTTAAAATAACTTTTCATATAAATTTTAGGGTATTAAAATTACATATGAAAGTTTGAGGTATTTATCTCCCACCCATTCAAAGTTTGGGGTATTTTAATTATTTTTCCCTTATTAAGTCATATATTTTCAATATCACATTAGTTGTACCAATAATTTTTTTTTTACTAACCGCATTCTTCCCAAATGAAAGAAAAGACGAATTATACTTGCTCAATAAATTCTTAACTTTGACATTATTTGTTTGATTGATTACAGAACTCATCACACGATGCCAAAATTATTGTGTTGAGTTAAAAAATGAAAATAATCATCAACCATACTAACCTTTACAAAATAAAGTGGGATACAATCATGTATTTAAATTTAATCTAATGACGAATACAATCTTAAAGTCAGAAAACATCATTGTGACTAATTTATAAAATGCTCATATTTTTAATACCAATTCAAAAATAAGATATCTTATTAAATGTGTCTGGAAAACTGGAAAAGTGATAATTCCATTTTTGCATAAAATTAATAACAAGAATCATGCAAAATTGATTAGAAAATGTGATAATTTCAAATCCATCATTTTCACTAATTTTTACCACACGGACAAGCAAATAAATTTACCGTGCGATGCATGGGTGTACACACTAGTTATCAATATAAGCCTCCCAGTTACAAAAAAAATTAAGCATTCACTTCAATCTATTCAAAAACCAAGTCAACTATCGCAATCAAAATACTTCAAAACGGTGCTTTTTTAAAGCACTTGTTCTTGCTTGTTTTGATGAATCCCGATCCAAAATAAACCATACTTGATATGATATTTAAGTTTATTGAGATAGCTTCATCCTCTAGTGTCTAGGTTTTTTTACCCCGATAAGAGTAAAACATGACATTTTTCTCAAAATAGGACCACTTAATTTAAACATTCTAAAATATGACATTTTATGTGTGATTGGACCAAAATACCTCCATTGCTGCCTCTGGACTATAAGGTGTTAGAGACTGTATAACCTATCGCGAGTTTCCGTACAGTTTTGGGCCGTACATATGTGGGCCTCGCGCGCGTGTCGTGTTATGATTAGGGGTTAGGTTTTACTCTATAAATACAAGTTCTCTCCCTTGTAATCACTTGATTCGAAATTAATAGCAATTCCTGACTTGGTAGCGCCCCCAGGCGTACTCATTCGTGGCGAACTGAGTTACCAAATTTCGTGTGTTTTTCTTACTGTGTTGCGTTAATTAAACCCTAACATGGACTGCTGCCAACTGCCTGCCACTGACCACCACCAGCTGCCGCCAGAAAAGTTTCCAGAATTTTTTCCTGAACTTCTACCAACAATTTTGCTGTCGCCGCCGCTGGAATCCGCCACCGCCGGAATCCGCCACCGCCGATCTACCGCCACCACCGGACTGCCTTGGTTGTGCAAGAAAACTAGGGGGAACAATTAATTGGGTTAATTAATTGCCAGAGTTCGCCGCCGCCGCCGCCGACCGGCTGCCAGAGTGCTGCCGCCACCATGGGCTGCCCCGTAACCGACGGACTGCCTTGGTTGTGCAAGGAAACTAGGGGGGGGATTATTTAGATCAAGTAATTAATTAAATAGAATTCGGGGTAAAAAAAGTAAGGTTAGTCCTATTTAGGGAAAACCAAACATTAAGTCCTATTTTGAAAAAAAAACCTAAGTTTTTGTCTTAACCATGACAATTTTCTCCTAGTGTCTACTATGAAAGACTCACTCCGTTTCAATTCAAAGATGCGTTAATTTTACACACAATTTAAGAAAGTGACGTTTTCTTCTTTATGCTATTATAGAGTTTAATGCACCAAACTCCCTCATGATATAAAAATTCCTCGAATTAACCCCCATGTGATTTTAAAAATGTGTCAAACCCTCCTGTGTTGTGATTAATCATGCACAAAACTCCCTCCAAGAACAAATTTTAAAATTTTGAAATCACTTTTTTTAATAATATGGTTGAATATACAAGTAACTTTGTTATAATTTCTAAATTATACAAAAAAAAAACTAACCATTTTTCATTTTTTGGAAATTAAATTTGTTTGAGAAAAAAATGATTTTAAAAAAAGTAAAAGTTTGTAGTGTTTGGTAAAATAAGTGCTTTTTGTGTAATAGAAAAAGTAAAAGCACTTTTGACACAAAAGTTGAGAAAAATAAAAGTTGTAGTATTTGACAAAAAAGTGCTTTTTTAAACCCAAAAGGCAAGAAGTACTTTTCTTAAATCCAACCCTAAACCCCTTACGTTGTCGTTTACATATTGAGTTACCCTTTCCTAATTTGGATTCACCTCCGTCCACGGCTGAGCGCACCAACGGAAGTACAAAAGGCGTAAACAAAGCTCCAACCATTTACGGATTTCAGGATTTTCAGCACAACAATCACTTTTTCTCTCCACAAATGAATACGCAGTAAATCATAGGCATCGGGAACCCAACTCCAGATACTGAGCAAACAAACCATCAATCACACATTTCAAGGGAGGATCAAAATGTCCGGGATTCCCTTCCATTCCACTGCGTTGGACACCGGATCACCGCCGCTCCTGAGGCCACTCCACGAGAGTAACCGAGGGAACCGCTCTCAGTCACTGGCGGCTCTGATGGGCCGGGTCACCGGGCGGCGTAGCGCGTCGGTGTTGGTGCGCGAGACGGCTGCACGGGAGCTGGAGGAGCGCCGCGCGGACTGGGGGTACTCCAAGCCGGTGGTGGCTCTGGACATTATGTGGAACCTGGCCTTCGTGTTCGTCTCTGCCGTTATGCTGGGGTGCACGCGCGATGAGAGCCCCAACGTGCCGATCAGGGTTTGGATTTGCGGTTACGCATTGCAGTGTCTGGTGCATGTGGTGCTGGTATGGATCGAGTACCGTCGTAGGAATTCACCTATTACTCGTCTCCTAGAGGAGGGAGGAGGCACACGGGAAGGTGGTAGTGATGAAGAGGATGAAGAAGAAGAACAAATAATAGCAGGTTTGGCTATTAGCAGCCAATCCAGGTGAGCTCAACCTGATGATTTTATAATTTCACTTCCTGCACTTATATTTTCATGTTTGCATTTTTTTAAACCCAGGGTTGATACATATGTCATCGAGTTCATGAAATGAGTTATTGCTGCTGTTGTTGTATTATTATTACTAGGATGTTTATTGTGATTATGATTGCGATTATTCTTATTCTTAATATCTTTTACTTCACATACCTTCTAAGTATAAGAAACTTAGAAAGTTCTACTCTTTAGTGCAATATAGATATTTGCTTGTACCAGAGTCTTGCTTTATAGTGACAGTTTAGTAAACTAAAAATGAGCTTGATACCGGTTCCATGAACCAGAGTCAGGTCTAAATTATTATGTTATATAAGAGCCTGATAGTAAGAGTAGTCTTGTAGGTTGTTTTTTATTTTTATCTTTAGTCAATGTGGAACAAACTCTTTATTAACCGCCAAAGTAAAGTAGAGTAAAGTAACTTAAAATTGACTTTAGTAGAGTTCAGTAAGGTAGAGAAAAGTGATAAAAGGTCGATTAAAAGCTGGTTGTGAAGAAAGCTGGTGGTGAAGATGCTCATATCAAGTTCAAGATACTTCTGTCTTTCAAGTTTCAATTGGAGCTTATGCAGGAAGTGCTTATGCATTGTTCATGTTTCGGATCAACTTTTTAGTTCAGGTTTAGAGTTCCAAGTTTTAAACCAAGATTGGAGCACAGTTTTTATTTTTCGGCTTGAGTAGTCTTGAAATATCTAAAATATTAAACAGAGCCATAGAAGATGAGAACTATAGTAACTCTAGGATTACGAACCCTAGGATTTCTTATCTACTCATTCGTATTGGGGTTTGATGTGTTATTTCTCCATATAGGTATATTATTAGTCTTTAGAAATAATCATGTTTGAAGGTATGACTCATGAGTTCTGTATGGATGAGAGTATTTAACATTTTTATACCTTTGGCTTTCATACTCATCCAACAAAGCAACAAACCATTACACTATTGCGGTTCTTGAGCGGTTTGAACTAACTTTAACCTAGTATGGAGAGAATCCTAATAGCTTTGACCTTTGGGCGAAACCACCATCATTCAAGAACTAAGATACCGGTACACAGTTGGACACATGCAAAGTGGGGAAGTGCTTGTCAGCAACAACTTCCTTTCAGCACTTGTACTTGCCTACATTAATGATATTATGCTATGTGTTTTTTTAACTTTTTATTTGAAGGAGGGTACAAGGGGGTTGTAATTTCACTAGTTTTCTTTCTGAGCGAGAGCAAGTTAGCATCTCGTATTATACTGTTATGTGATGGAATTGAGACCAATTAATCAGAGCACTAAAAGCCTGTGTTTACTGTTTTTCATATTCATGTAATTTTGTAATGCGGAAAAGTTAACACACTTTATTTTCAAAGGCAAATCCATGATGATGGATAGAAGTTAAGGCTGACCAAGAGGCACATACTTTTAGCATTATTGACTATCGAATAATCTAAAGGAGTGAATGTTATTTGAATTTTAGAATGTAATATTTGATACCATTCTGCTTGTTTATTTTTATTATTAGTTCAAGTTGTAATTTGTAATGCTATATTGATCTATTTTCTGTCTGGTGCAGGGTGTAAGTTCAATTCATGTTCTGCTGCAGACTATTAACTTAACATGGTTATGCTAATTAGGGAGAAGATTTGAAACCCTTTAACTGGATATGGGATACTATATATACATGCTGCACTATAATCTACATCTAGTTGTCATCTAATAATGAAATGAATTGTACTTTTGATGCTATTAATTGCTATTGATATTTGATAGATGTATGGAGTATTTTTTTTATTCTTCATTTGAGTTGTGCCATTAATTGGATGACATTGCTATTCCTGTTCTTGTAATATGTTCCTTTTAAGTTTTTTTTAGTTTTTAAAAATCTTCTTAATGATGTTGTTGGCATTCCAGTGTTGCAAAACGATGTGAATCTGTTAATACCATGGCTTCATTCATGTGGTGGATGGCTGGCTTTTACTGGGTAATCTCAGGTGGCGATATTCTTTTGCGCAATGCTCCACGCCTGTACTGGTATTTGACAATTTAATTTCAATATCTTTTTTTCTTCACTTTTTTTATTTGCGAAAAAGGTACCTTCTTTTTGAGTTTAAACTATTTTTGATCATATGTATTTATATCAATATCAATTATATTTTTATTAACAATTCTAAAATATGCAATGTCCTTGATATTATTGTTTCATACTTGTAGACAATTACACTATGATGGTTCTGTTTCCTTTTACACTACATGCTTATATTAATTGGTAAAGGATTATTTCCCCCGAGTAGAGTTTTCCTTTGCCGGATCCTTGGCATCTTCCCCTGTCACATACTCACATTGATAAATAACTGATAAAGAATCATGCAAACTGAACTTTAATGCTCTGAAACTACAACAGGCTTGAGTATATTTTGAGAATAACTGATGGTGAGGAAACAATTAGAATAGAAGATGTAGGTTAAAGTGTAGGCGAGTCTGTTGCTTGAGTGTCAAGGCTGTTGCAAGCCTGCAATGAGTGCAACTATTTATGCTTTTCAACACTTCCCAATTGTTAGAGCATATAAATTGATGCTCCGTGCCGACTAATGATGTAAGATTATTGTAAGAATCATCTCTTTAGATGAAACTTTTCTTTAATATAAAGATTAAAGGAGATCAACTTTGATGTGTTTTTTTCTTTCACCAAATACTGGGTTAGATGCATTATTTAGTGTTGCTTGTATGTCTCATATAAGCTTCGTATTCCCAAGCTCATAACTTTAATTTCTTAACAAATGAGTTAACCAAATAAGTTCACATGCTCTGGTTGTCATTCAACGATACATAGCTTCTGCACTTTATCTAACAGCCACATCTAGTTTCTCACTCTTTCATAATACCAAGTAGCTGTTGAAAGATATACAAAAGATAAAATATAGAAATATAGAGATATCGAGGTATAGCGGAATATGATGATAAAACCCTTTAGTGTAGACCTCCAGATCATTACGAGTTTGGCATGGTGTTAGTTCGTTAAACAAAGCTGGAAGTGTTAGACACAAAATGAAGTGTGGTCTCTCTGTCTGTAGAGCTACAGTGGAGCTTAGCTATGAATCTTATGATAAAATATTACAATGTTATAAAGGAAAAGTGTACTTATCTTGCTCTCCTTAATCCTAAGGTACAACATGTGTGAGTACTGCCAAGAGTTCGTGTGAGAGATCTCTTCCAAGACCTAGATTGTGAAGGTGAAAGAGAGGAACCCAATAGTAACTTTGGGTGTATGTTAGCCACTATTGAGAATTCCTCCTCCAAACGTTGTCCTTATCTTTGCTGTCCTTTTAGTAGAGCGTCTCTAGTTTTTTCAATCAATTATCAGAAACCTTCAGGTGCTTTGGGATTTTCTAGATACTCTGATTGCTCATCTGGTAGATGTGATTTGTGAACCCTTTCTTTCCTTAAAAGTGCCCTCTTTGTGCCCTGTTGATGGATTTACATGACTTTTAAATTGTGTGTTTGATACAAGACTTTAAATTGCTTTTACAAGGTCACACACTTGCACTACATTTTTAGAAATACTACTATATTTTATTTCTAAGAAGGGTGAAAGTCCCTATTTAATTTCTAACAAAGGGTGTATAAACATTCCTTTGAGTTAGGAATTTCTTCTTCTTCTTCTTCTTCTTCTTCTTCTTTATGGCATAGTTAATTCTCTAAAAATGTTTAAAAAACTCACAGGTAAATGAATTTGTATTTGATTTATTGCGCAAGCACATAAAACCATTCATTGATGTTTCTACATTTCTTAAGAGATTACTAATTGCTAGAGTGTTATTCTAGAGAAAGGTGAGAGCTAGAGAGAGAAGTGAGTGTGTATAATGAATCACCATCCTTTATATTGTTTCCCAGGGTAGTATTTATACGGGAATTGAGGGCTCGGCTACTAGGTTTGGGCCTAGTAGGCCCAATTACATAACAGACGCTAATAATGGTATAAGACTATAATGGTCGCAAAACCGGGGGTTCTAGTTCATATACTCTACCCGGAGTTCCTCACTCCTTGGGGCGAGCGGGCAGGAGTACTCAAGGTGAAAGAGAACTTATGTAGTGGAACCTTGTTGTAGGTCAAGGTTGTCAGGGGGGTCTTGGCCTCTTAGCCGGAGCCCAATAGATATAGAAACGGCCCGCCATCCGTGAAGGGAGTGTCTAAGACCGGCCTTGTGATAAAAAGTGTATTGGGAGTAAGATTGTCCTCATTTAATTGTACTTGCGCATTTGAAATAAAATGGTTATAAGTTTTGGACCTTGGAGTTGCTTTTTGGATTTGGTCCTCATTACTCGAAAATAGTTGCCTCAAGTTTCCAAGCTAGGGCTTAATTCGTCCTCTGGGGGCTAAGATTTGAATCTGAGAGTCGTGTGATCTGAACGGACGAGCCGCCCCCAAAGGGCTAAAGCATCTCCGTACTTATGGGAGATGTGAATGTCAATTAAGCGACAAAAATGCTTAGTAGAGCGTGGCTCAAGACCCGTATCTAGGAATCAACTCGCCAGTTCGGGTTTGTAGTTCGAATCCAATAGTTTTGTGCTACGGATGACTCGCCCCTGAGGTCGGAGTATGATGTCTAAAGAAGGAGTACACAATAACTCATACACAAGCAAAAGGTCGAGAGTACACAATAGTTGGCGTCTAGATTGGGAGCTTATGAATCACCACACCAATATTAGGTGACCCGGTGATGTGAGTGTTGAATGCTCTGCCGGTGTACCGTGTATGTTGAGCGGTCAGATTTCATTAGTTCATTTTCAATGTAAAAAATACACACTACTCGACAATAAAAATAATAGTGATGTGGTGATTATTATCACCGGAGCTTGGCTCGCATTACTTTTACCCATTAGTAAATAATAGTGATAACAATAGTAATATTACTATTTAATATTGGAATGTATAAGTTGGAGCTTAGTACTTAGCTTTTTGAATCGTAAACCTCGGCCAAAATTCACGTGTTCTCCACCAAGTATTCTCCCTGGCAACTAGTAGTGAGGCCAGTCAAACTGCTGCTCGTTTATACTCCACACAATGTCTCCCGGAACACTTGGAGCAACGTTCGAGTCAGCCCTCCACAATTGTGCACGAATTGCTCTCCGTCAGCAGAAATGTTCCCCGACGGAGTCCACTTTTCAAACTCTCTCTCTCATCAACCCTTCTCAAACTCATCCCTACTTGGAGTCAACTACTCTCTGGTTATCACTTATCAGGGACTGCCTCGTAGAGAAGAAAAATTGTAGCTGTCTTCATCTGAACCTGCAAAGCTCCTTGAAATGAGAAATCAGTCTTGGTCACAAAAGGCACCAGTGTCGGTGACACCGTGACGCTTGAGTCCACTACAGACCACCATTGCTGTTCAAATAGAACCTGCTATCTGGAAGCTCAGGTGTTGTTGGAACTTATGACAACTGGAATGCCCATCTGTATGGACTCCTAATCCATCAAGTCTCAGCAATAGCAAATATCCAGACTCAAAACAATCCCGAGAGCAAAAAAAATTGTATTTTGCTATTTGCTGTAAACTCTTGAGCAGTGATTTCAAAGTGTTCCAAGCTCCCAATTATTCCTAATGCCCATTTTCCTATTTCCTGAAACTAGCTTTACTTTTCCATCAAAACGTTATCTGAAACCTAACCCATGGTGCATTGATGCCTGTCCTCTTATTAGTTTTACTATACATTATCTCATTAATATAGTTGATGGGTTTTGCACAATTGTGGTAGTTGAAAAACTGTCTGAATCTGTCTTGAACCAATGTTTTGGCCATGTAGTACGAAGGGATATGATGTCAATGGATATTGTGAAAGAAAAAGTAAGCTGCTAGATGCAAGCAGCATTGAGCAACTGGTAGGTGAATAATGGAAGTGACATGATAGGGTTAAGGCCACTTATATAATTAATCCCAATAGAGATATCTCTAAAGTGCACACAAGGCAGGGTAGAAACACGAACTAAATAAAGGAAAGGCTGAGCTGGCCATGTCAGACTAGTGGAGGGAATAAATAGAAGGGACCAGGGAGGAGGAGAGAGAATGGCAGTCTGGTAGTGTGTTAGAACTTGGAGAGAAAGGCACTCTCGAATTGCCTATTCTGTATTCTTCCCCTACATTTCATCTTTCTGATAATGCGCCTGGACCTGTGAGCTTGTATCTCCTTCCGAAGAGATGCGAGTGTTAAAAGAACTCACATTCGAACCGGAAGGAAGGTTGATCGGCAGCTACCGGAGTTACCTTGTGACGCGGCGGAACTGTGACTTTCTACAGAATGACGTCTTTCAAAATACGAGCTCAGCCTTTACCTTTGTTTATTTTGTGCTTCTACCCTGCCTTGTGTACACTTAAGAGAAATCCCTATTGGGGTTAGTTATAAATTGTCCTCCCTATCATGACATGGGAAAAAGAGAGCAATTTTTTCACCATTAAAGTGCCTTCACTGCATTGTGTCATTGATTAAAAGAACTTTAAAAAATTGAAAGCAAAAGAGCTTCCAAGCAGGGAAATGTATGCTTTAAAGCTAAACGAATCCTCCAAAAACTACTTCAGTACCGCAACATTTTGCCATGTTTGATTGACACTAAGATTAAGAAATGAAAATTGTATGGTTGAGATTTATTTAGAAGAGGGAGAAATTATATGAACCACAAGTTCCTTTCTCACTTTCGGGAAGGATGGCAAGAAATGTTGGCAAAGTTTTGAGGGGCGGAAGGTCATAATTTCTTTAATCATTCTTTGAGTTGTTTCTTTGGGTTGTACAGGTGTATCTCTCTATTTTATGTTCACTTATTAGCTTTACATGAGATGTGTATTAATCTTTGATCTTTTTTTTTGTAGGTCAGCGGTGGTATTTCTAGCCTTCGATGTTTTCTTTGCCATATTTTGTGTGGTTTTAGCCTGTCTAATAGGGATTGCTCTCTGCTGCTGCTTACCTTGTATAATTGCAATCCTTTATGCTGTTGCTGGCCAGGTATGAAGGCTTGATTGAATGTGCAGTTTAGGCAACACAGAGTTCTATATGTTTATTTAGTTTTTTAGTTTACATTTGCAGGAAGGTGCTTCAGAGGCAGATCTCAATGCCCTTCCCAAGTACAGATTTCATAAATGTCAGGATATTGAAAACCCCAGTGTTGGTGCTGGTAAAATGGTGCCCATTGATACAGGAAGCAGTTTCTTGGCTACTGAACGCATTCTTTTACCTGAAGATGCAGTAAGTGTATACATTTATCAACAATTTCCTACTTCCCACCTGCTTTTCCTGAAGAGGTTGAGTACCATTCATGGAAAATACTCATCTGGTTGAATTTAAATGACTCTTTGGGGGGTTTTGACCTAAATATTACTAAAAGGAATGCTAAAGAAAAAATGGTACTACTCTTTGAATATTCTAAAAAAGCGACTAAATATGTCACCGTCTGGGGCACCATCCCATCGTCACCGGCAGAGCAGTTTGGAGCTGTTTTCTAGAAAATTTCAGGTGTTGGTAGATGGGAAGTTGATGGGGGGAGAGAGAGAATAGATGGAGATATGTTTAGTGTTTCGGATTATTTAATAACTTTTGGAAATACTTCAAAGTAGTTTTATTTTTGTCGGGATAAGGAACAAATATACAATTGCACTATATGGCAGAAAAATTATATACCCTCAACTTTTTCTTGTTCAATTAAACATAAATATACCCTTGAGCTGTATATTAGAGAACGTGTATATTATATATACCTCAATTATTGGACATAAAGGGTATATATGTTCTCAAATGTATAATCAAGTGTATATGGGTTCTAACTTCTAACTTTGCAACTTTTGAGTTTAATTGTTCCAAAATAAAGTTGAGGTTGAGATTTGTTCTCTAACATATAGTTTAGGGCATATTTGTTCCTTATCCCTTTTTTTGTCAATTGAAACTCTTGGAGTAACACTTTGGTCTATGAAGTATTTGGGGTACAAATCTCTCAATATATGCATGCCCTTCAGTTCTCAATCTATAAGTGGTATTTTGAAAAATCTTCAAAATTATCAAATTGTGGTAATAATTTCACATCCACACATATAACATCGGAATGTCTCTCTTCTTTGTAGGAATGTTGCATATGTCTCAGTTCATATGAGGACGGAATAGAGCTTCACACTCTCCATTGTAATCATCATTTTCACAAAACATGTATTGTGAAATGGCTTAAGATGAACGCTACATGCCCGCTATGCAAGTTCAACATTCTCAAGGAGAATGACCAGGTTTAAACTATAAAAACAACAGGTGAACAAAATCATAAACCTTTCAGCCTGTGTAAAAATTCAAATTTTGTCAAAATACGGAGTGGGGGTATGGATGTTGTTAACACGCTCTTTGCCGTCAGCAGTTGCATTGTAACCAGTTGAGCTTCAAATCCTGTTTTGGCAATCTGCATTTTGTTTTTCTCTTAGTTAAATTGTCTTAAGTGCACTGTAGACTTTTAGGAGGAAAAACAAAAAAGGTTTATTACCTGATATTGTAAATTATTTTGGTTCCATTGCTGTGCTCAATTGATAGAAATGTCATGTAACTTGTGAGTTGTGATTATATTGATGTAAACAAAACATTAAGTGGCGTAGGCAGGCACTCAAACTGGGCTGGGCCGATACAAACTTTTGCTTGGATTTTTTAACACATACTACGTAATATTTATACTAATATTTTAGACATTTTTTTAAATTTGGGCTAAGTCAGGGCCTAGGTTGGCCCCTAGCTATGCTCGTGTTAATATAGATACTGTGTCATATGTTTACCTTCACTGCCTTTGTATGTGGTGAGAAGAATGAAGTAAAATGGGGTTGGCTTTCCTCTCGGAATTTCTTGAATCTTGAATTCTTGACCACGACTGTCGTCTCTCAACCAGTAACGAAGGGAAGTGCAGTTTTGACTAGTACAAATCCATGCAAGAATGTAGAAGTTAAACTAAATTGTTTGTATACAATCTAATGGAATATTAAAACATCTTGTAGGACAAGAGTTTTTTTTCAAAAATAATGTTAAATAAAAAAAAATTCCAAAAATATGGATAAGTTAAAAGTATTTCCCAAAATAGTGCTCCATTAAACCTGAGTTAGGTGCTGTTCTGTTCGTCTTATTCTTATTACTTATTGCTTATTCTTATTTTATTCAGATCAGATCAGATCAGAAAAATTCAGATCAGATCAGATCAGATCAGAAAAATTCAGATCAGATCAGAAAGATTCAGATCAGATCAGATCAGAAAGATTCAGATCAGATCAGAAAGATTCAGATCAGATCAGACCAGATCAGAAACATTCAGATCAGATCAGAAACATTCAGATTAGATCAGATCAGAAAAGTTCAAACATGATTTATCATTTTTATTATTATATTAAATATTAATTATTATTATTAATATTGTTATTACTATTATGATTATTATTATATAATTATTATTAATAATATTGATAATAATATGATAAAAAAAGATATTAATAATAGTTATAATATTTTAATATAATAATAGTAATATAAATGCAATTGTTAAGAAGACTATTATTATTATTATTACAATATTATAATAATAATATGATTAATATTATTATAATATTATATTATAATTATATGTAATTATAATTATAATTACAATTATAATTCTTATAATTATAAGTATAATCAATTGTAATTATTATAATTATATCTATAATTAATTATAAATATAATTGTAATTAATTATAATTATAATAATTATAATTATAATTACAATCATAATTATAATTATGATTATAATTATAATTATAATATAATATTAAAATAATTTAATACTAATTATAATAATAATCATATTATTATATTATTGTAATAATAATATTATTATATTATTGTAATAATAATATTAATATAATAATATCGTTATAATAATATTAATTGTATTTATATTACTAATATTAAATTATAATATTATAATTAATGTTAATATAATTATAATTATAATTAATTATAATTATAATAATTATAATTATACTTATAATTATATTATAATTATAATTTATGATTATAATTATTATTTTTATTTTAATTATTATTATTATTATTACTATTGTAATTATTTTACGGAGTAATTATAATAATATTGATAACTATAGGTCTATAGTTACAATTATAGAGATAAATATTATAATTATAATTATAATCATATAAATATTCGAACCAGATCAGATCAGAAAGATTCAGATCAGATCAGAAGGATTCAAATCAGATCAGAAACATTCAGATCAGATCAGACCAGATCAGAAACATTCAGATCAGATCAGAAAGATTCAGATCAGATCAGATCAGATCAGACAGATTCAGATCAGATCAGATCAGATCAGAAAAATTCAGATCAGATCAGATCAGAACTTAAAAAATTCAGATCAGAAACATTCAGATCAGGCGAAGAGAACAACTTCTTAAAAGGCTTATGCCAAAACAAGTAATGCGGGCAGAAGGAAGCCAAACAACTGAACAAGTAATGAACATTGTCATATTGAGGTAGGGCACCACAAAAATTAAAATTTAATTTTTATTTGTACTCTGATTGTTACAAAAATATATTAAAAATAATAAATACTCCCTCCGTTTTTTTAATCTTCACAGTTTGACTTTACACAAAATAAGGAAAGAAATTTGACTTTACTGTAGAGTACACTGTTGAGGCACTGTTTGACACTACTTGGCACTGTTGAGACACTGTTTGACACTGCTTGACACTGTTTGACACTGTTTTGATGTAGATTTCTTTGCCAAAAAAGAAAATAAGGAAGTGTGAAGTTTATTTTAGACCGTCCCAAAAAGGAAAGTGTGAAGTTTATTAAAAACCGGAGTGAGTATTTGCTATCTTTAATAAGACACTAATTTTGAATATATAAAATTAAAAATCAATTTTACTAATTTGTGCAGTTTAGAATCGTTTTTTACAATGCACACATTTATTTGGAGTAATAACTTAAATAAAATTGTACAAATTTCATCACTTTTATTTATTGTTTTATTCCTTGTGTAGTTTTAGGATATTTTCTTTTGAACTGTTTTCAGTCCTAAATCAGACCAAATCAAACATAAATAGACCAGAGTAGTACCAGACCATATTTAAATTACCTAAAGATGTTAAAACTCTAGTTCTGGTCTATTTAAGTATGGTTTCCTTTAGGAAGACAATCTACACAAGCCTGCCAAATAAAGTTTTTAACCTTAGGCTGTAGTGCAAGCTTCCATATCTTAACCCATGTTACATCAGGTTGGTCGCATCTAGCCAACATACGGTAACAACTTCTAACTGAGTATAACCTTTTATCATCATCTGCCCAAATTTGTTCATCCTTTCCTCTACTTCCTCTTAAAGGTAGGGGTGGGAAAAACCGAACCGAAACCCGGAAATCGACCCTAGACCGACCCTAGACCGACCCGAATTATGATCCCGGTCCGGGTTTTTTCTTTTTAACCGGCCCGAATTAAAAAAAGCCGGACCGAACCAAAAATTCCGGGCTCATTAACGGGCCTTAAAATCTATAACCCGGCCCGAACCGAAAAAACCCGAAACAATTAGTTTTAATATAAAATTAATATAGTATATGAATATAAATAAAATATTTCCTAATATATGATTATAATCACGGTGGATAAAAAAAAGATTTAGTAACTTTTAATGACTACAGATATGTTGAATTTGTTTAGCGTAATGATGACCATGAGAATATATTTATAGCAACTTTAGTAACTTTTTGATTTATAAAATTTATTTCGTAATATTTTTAAGAAACCTATATTATTTATATATATACATCTTACATAAAATATTAAGATAATTATCTTCTTTAAATTTGAATTGTTGGTGATTTTCGAGACTAATATTTGTGTTATTATTTGCGGTTTGTATTTTTGATTAATTTTATTTGAAAATAAGTGTTAAAATATAAAAGAACAATGACATATTTCACGGCTGGGCTTTAACCAGTCCAACCCGAACCCGGACCGAACCCGGGCTACCAAAAACCCGACTCGGACCGAATGTAGTGGGCTTTGTTCTGGTCCCTAATTTTCATAACCCGAGACCTTCCGGGTAATTTCCGGGTTTAGCAAAAACTCAACCCAAACCGGACCGATCCCACCCCTACTTAAAGGAATACCTATAATGAGCTCCACATCCTCTTTATCAAATAAGTCTAAAATAATGTCATGGTCCAACTCATTCCCATCCTCGGTCATCAACGAGTGAACCCCGAATATCCTCTAAACCGTGAATGACATTTTTTGTCTGTCTGCCACCGTGTTGTGTGATCAACCATTTATCTTTCCACACCCGAGTAGTCTCACCATTCCCAATTCGAAAACTTAGACCCTGTCGAACTACTGGTATAGCCTTGGTGAAACTCCGCCAAATGAGAGGAGGATTACTCCTACACATTGAATCCAGAATATCGCTATGAGCAAAGTAACAAGCCTTAAGCATACTCGCAACAAGAGAATTTGGATTCTTCAACAATCTCCACACCTGCTTACCCAACATGCCAATGTTAAAATCTTGGAGTCTTCTGAATCCCATACCCCCTTTAGTTTCATGGACACATAGGGCTCCCCACCTCTTCCACCGAATGCCCTTTCCTTTGTACATGTGGCCTCTCCACCAGAAATCATTCATTACCCTCTCAATCTCACTAAACAAGTCAGCTGATAGCAAAAAGACATTCATTGCATATTGCGGCATGACTTGCATCATTGTCTTGATCAAAGCTTCTCTTCTTGCCCTAGATAGAATTATGCAATTCCAGTTCTGGATCCTCTGAACAACCTTTTCTTCAATGTAACTAAAGATCTCTCTTTTATTGCGCCCTGCCATCGACGACAGGCCCAAATATTTACCTCCTCCTCTATCATCCTGGACCACCAAGATACCACTTAAATAATCTCTATCATCCCGTGCCACATTTGCGCTAAACAACACACTTGACTCCTCAAAATTAATCAACTGGCCTGAAAACACAGAATAAGAAGCTAGGACCTCGTTAACAGCAAAGCAATCGGTCTCAGTTGCCCTGAAAAAGAAAAATCTATCATCAGCAAAAAGGAGGTGGGAAACGGCTGATGCTCCTCTATAGCAATGCACGTATCCCTTATAAACCGCCATCGTTTTCCTTCTCTCGTAGTAATGCACTAATGCATTCTGCCACCAAAATAAACATATATGGTGACACCAAATCACCCTGTCTCAGACCCCTAGAAGGAAAAATCGGCCCAAGTAAATCATCATTAACTTGGATATGGTACCACACAGGGGCGGAGCCAAAAAAATGTGCGAGAGGGGTCGGAATTTAATTATATACAATATCAAAACGATGAATAGTTATTATTATACAATACTTGAGTTAAATGTTTCATATGTAGCTGAGATAAATGATAGTTTAATGAACATTTTTTCGCTTAATGTATTGATACGACATATGTAATGTATCATAATGTTCACACAACTAATGACTGGATAAAGTGTTTGGCTTATAAATTTTAGAATATAATCAACGTCACACATCAAATTTTGCTTATTTCAAGTTAAGATGATGTTGATTTTTCCAGAAGTCATAACTTTTTACTCGTAATATGTTACGAGACCCATAATATATCAAATCGAAGGTATTTTAGAGCTCTACGTTATTGAACTTTCAACAGGGTCGGCTGACCACCCTGACCCTCCCTTGTT